GTGGAATTTCAAGCTTCAAACGACAATTCTAGACAGCATTTGCTTAGCTGAAGACATGGGATAAACCAGAAGAATGAACTGACCAAACCTGGATAAAGTTCTACCTTTAGGAAAAAAGTTCTATTATTGCTTTTCTACACTACCAGAGAAGACAGAGGAAGAGGCTCACAGAGACACCTCCCGTCTGCCAAGGAGGGGAAAGCCCCAAGCTCTCTCATCTGAGATACATGGATCCACATCTGCCCTGACATGACCTGTGTAACACACAGACCTGAAAAATAAAGCATAAATTCTGCATTTTGTACAGGAATACATATATATTTTGTCTTGGGGGTGAAAGAATTATACAAGCTAAAGCCAGACATCCCTAGGACTAGACCAGAATCCCAAATGCACCTCAGTTTGCACTGAAGTTTGCCTGGTTTTATATAGTTTAAAAAAAAAAGCAATTATCAATATAACCTGGAAAATGCTGTACAGTACTTCAACTTACTAGCTCATGCAACTCAATATGATTGATCTTCAGTCCTTCCTAAGGAGCAGGAAGGAAGAACTAAGCAGCAGGCACTATGTAGCAACTCTGCCCATTTTATTTGGTTAACTTACAAAAACTGAATCATGTAAGAAAACCCAAAATGATTATACAGGATCTACTTAGGCCATCTGAGGTCAGCCATACCCTCTTCTCTGGGGTTTCATGGTATGCACATTCAAAAGCTTCACAAACTATTCTGGCATCCAGCAAGTTGCTCTGGGAAGCAGCTTCCCTGTCACTGGCAGAGCCAACATGCTTGCAGGAGCCATGCACTGAGCATTCAATGTTCTGGTACCAGAGACAGCAGGAAACTCCTGTTCTTATAAAGAGTCAAGCCTGTGCGGTGGAGGCCACTCCATCTAAAATATGGGAGTGAGTCTATTATATTTCTACATAAAAAAAGGAAAAAAGACTTCATATTGCCACATGAATGAGTGGTTTAACTAAGAGGTTCTTGGTTCAGGTTTCATCATTCATTAATTTAACACACACACACAAACAGCTACAACACAGTGAAACAATCCCTTACTACATAATCCTTTTGACAGCTGCAGATCTTGGCTCTATATTATTGCCCAAGAAAAGGGGAGGAGGAGGGAAAAAACTTCTAGATTTACTAGATTTAGACCTGAACTAATTTACCAGCAAGAGAGATCCCGTATGATTTAAAAAACAACCAAGAGCCATTGCTGCCATCCCAGCAGGCATTACCAGGCAACTTGACTGGTCTGGGAGACAGCTGAGGATGTCAACTTAAACAGTAACTTAAGGAAGGCACAGTGAGTTTAAGTTGCACTTAAAATCAACCTACAAAGCTCAGTGATTAATCACACCGTTTGTCTACTTGTTTTTCCATTCTGTTCTTGTTTCAAGTTGTACAATAAGATATTCAGAGCTTGGAATGTAGCTTTTCTTTGCTTCCCCTGCTTGATGTACCACCTTTTAAAGTTACACGCATGGCCAGACTTTACTTCAAAGCTGGGTTCCAGAGATCTAAACTCTTCACTCCATTTTTCCATAATGGGTTCAATACACAGGAAGAAAACACACAATCTTGTACACTTACAGCTTTGTGCTTATCATCCAGAAGCAGGTCTAAGTTAATTTATTTGGACAGATGGCATAGCTGAAACGTAACCTTCCTCCTAGCACGTATCTGGCCATTATGTTACCGCACAGAGCAGGTTATTTCCCCCCTCAGCATTCTTTCCCCAAGACGTGCACATGTAAGCACACTCACAGGGGTCTACAATGCCTTCCTGACTGCCACAGGGAGATACTGCCTCCACAGAAAGACAACAACTAATAGATGATGCAATGACACACACGGACTCTTCAAAACACACAAGCAAGTTACACGATGGCTTGCTGCCTCTGAGCATCTGCTCTACAGTATCTGGCAATTTGTACAAAGCATAGCTTTGCCTTACACAAGGGGATTCAAGTAATTTGAGTTACCTCACACTTGGTTTAGGGACAGGCAGATAAATGGACAGTTATCATGAAATTACAGGGGCCAGGAAACTTACTCAAGCGATTACCCTCTAAGGAAACAAAATGCTCTTCTGATCCGAATAGGCAGCAATTCCCAAGGAGAACAATTCTGGGACTGCACAGGGTTCCTAAGTATCTATTACAAGGCAAAATTGTTATCAGGAAAGGTGTTTTCATTGCCCAAAAGAGGTTAGCAGAAGTAGCTATGCTGAAAATGCACAATACTCTGCTGCAGTATAAAGTATTCCATCAGAAGACTTAAAAACCTGTGTACTCTACAAGCAGCATACAGATACTTTACAGAGACAGCATGAAGCCTAAATGTTCTGACTTGTTATGGGGCTATAGATAAATTAAACATTACTTAAATGCAGCCACTACTGTTATGAGAAGCAGTGGTAATAAAAAATGCATACCACAAATGCTTATTTTGGGGCAGAAAGACACTGCAGACAATCAGAACGGTAAAGGGAATGGCAACAGAATTAATCTGAGCAGAAGGATTTCTATTGCACCACTATTCTTTCTGCTGACCAAGTATCTAACCCATGCAATGCTTTTCCACAGCGTTTTAAGCCCTGCTATTTCCAAAGCCTTTGCCGTACTCCTTACAATGAGTGACAGACTTCAGGACTGGATGAGGGATCAGACTGAATCAAAAGTATTTTAAAGTTTTGTAAGAGAAAGACAATTTAAAAGAAAAAAAAAAACAAAAAACAACCTGTGCTCTAAATTTTAGCATTTTTAATCAGTCTTCCCACTTCAAAGACAGTAAATTCACAACTCCAGGCTCCTCTCCGTGGTGCAAAGAGACTCTTGCTCTCCCACTAAAAATTATTGTGCAATTATTGTCCAGTCTGGGATCTGTCTGGGATTTCTGTAAGGGTAACAGCCCATTTTGGACTTAGCAAAAAGAATCACTGTGCTAGATCTCTGTGGGATTGACTGGAGTATTGGGAACCAGTATGTGTCACCACTGACAGTTATTACTCCGCTTGGCCAAGCTCCAGCAGTGCTGTGCCAACCCGGGTAGCAGCCTGGGAGCCAGCCAAGAGGTCGAGCAGGCCTCAGCAGCATGAATGCAAATGGCTTTAGTCGTGGTAGGTCTTTTGTAAGCAGCGTAAGGGGCATGCTGGTCTCAGAAAGAAGTTAAATCCTGTTTCCAAACTGTGAGCGTCTGTGCACCATCTGGGTCCTAGGGAGCGAAGCAGCTGTGTTCCCTTTTGCAGGAGGTTTGTCATACCTCCTCAGAAGGGGATGTGAAAAGGCCATGGAGGCTCCTTGAGCAAGCAACCACAACACTGTCACACTGTAAACCCGTTTCCCTGTGATTTGAAGATGCCAGAGCCCTCTTTTAAGCTTTCAAACCTACTGACTTTTTGAAACCAAGAACTGTTAAGAGATAAGTGTTCTCATTCTCAGACCTGCAACTCTCCAGTAAACCTCTTCAGTCGCATAATGGGAAAGAATGCAATAGGGGGCTAACAGATGCATCATTCCTTGAATTCCCATCTGCACACAATGCCCAGCCAAATCCTTTAGTTCAACTTGCTGAGAGGAGTCAAATCAAAAGCCATCGAGCTGTTTAGACAAACAACAAACTCGCAATCATGGGAGTAAGGATTCGTCAAAATTAAGCACAGACTTTTTGTACTTTATGAGGAACACACACCCTTGTGCAGAAAAGGAGAGAAGACGGGTTCACAGCTCAGCAGATGAAGCTCCTAGTCATCTCTTGACTCCAAACGATTTACTCAAGTCAGTTTTACTAACCATAAAATAAGCATCTACCTTGCCTAAAATATGACACAGAATTAAGTCTTTTAAGATACAAAGTTCCATCAAATTAAAACTCTGTTATTGCAAGATCCTCATTCAGCCTCCTGTGACTCCTCCCTTGACGCATGGCCGTATTTTACAACATTAGTTATCACTGCAACGTTCTTCTTAACACTGAACAAAGCCACATGAAGGAGATATCACTGCCTTTGAAATGAGACACAGTAATGCTACACAATTATCAAGATGACCACGGTCCCAGAACAGACTGTGCCCGTGACACGCTGCCAACTGTCCCAGGAACACTGACAACACTATCACGTAACTGTCAAGCTTGCCAAGAAGAAATTAAGTCACAGGACAGTTTTTTCAGGTAACAAATATGATGCCAGGGGGAAAAAAAAAAATAAATCAAACCTATACTGGGTATATCTGGAGAGAAAATTCTTCACTGGGGAAGAGGGAAACAAGATGAACTGCAAAGATTGGAATTCTGCAAGGAAATTTAATAAGGAAAAAACCTGACCAGAAAACACTAGCACTCATGGCCACGAAGTAGCCAGAGATAGAATTATAAACTATTTCCCAAAAATAATTTCTCACAAGTTTTCTAGGTACTGTAACTTGCCTTTTTGACCTTTGTTCCTCAAAGATAGTTTCCCATTACTTACAGTCTGGCACAGGCAAGTTACAGATATAACACAGACTGGACTTTCATCCCTTTGCTCATTCTATGTTAAGTCTTGAAAGAAAACAGATTCACCACAAAAGGAAGACCAAAGTACTTCATATGCTACGCAGCAAAACTTACTCTCACCACCATGTAGTCAAAAAATACAGCCCTATTACTTCAGTAAAAGACAAACATGCTCTCCACCTTGGAGACACATTCCGATTTGTACATTTTTGTTTGCCCAGAGATGAAGTACCATCCTTTAGAGTCTGACATTGACAATCCTGCATGTTGTAGGGCAAGTCCTTCACTCGTCAATGAAACCTTCTACAGCTTTATTTGAAAAATGAAATCCATATTATATTAAAAATACTTTTGAAAGGCCCAAGCTTTCAGAAGGCCTTGGAATCAAGGCAAGCAAGCCCCTCTAAACTAGATGTTTTGGCAAGCAGGGTATGATCCGGTTCTGGTGGCCTGTATTCAGTGGTGTCTCACTTCCCAGACACAGGCACAACTTACCGAGTGCTCTGGCAACCGCCAGGAAGGGAATCTGGTCGATGACAGTGCTGCGGCGCACAGGGCCGTTGTGAGTCAGGCGAGGCCTCTTCCAAACAACACGGTTCACACCAGACTTGTTGATCACACTAAAACCATCAGAAAGAAGCAGGGGTTAAAAAGGAATGGAAATGAAAGCATGGAAGTTGGTTTCAATGACACAAAACTGGTTTAATATGCAAATATGGAGTCAATAATGACAGCACCCTCAGGGAAGTCCACACCACTATTAAATATTTCAAAACACACGGTTTCACTTAGATAGTTTCATTCCATATTAAGCCAAATGGAAAAGTGAGACATGAAGGGCAGAAGAAAAAGCAGAGGAATGAAGACCTGGAAGAAATTCAGGCTGGCTGCAACAACCAGATGTAAGAGTATCTTTTTAATCTGTCAGAGAAAAAACAGATCTGAATTTGCTTTCCTCAGATGAGGACCATCAACGTCAACTCACTTGAGTGGAAATATCATGTAGTTCCTCCTTCAGTTTTCTCCATCTGCCAAAGTTTGGCAGTGAGGAGAAGCACAGTGCAGTTGAAAAAAACAAAAGAGAACAGAGCACTGCCTTCTGTAGGGACTTCCTTAAAGGTGCATCAACATGAGGCAGATACAAAAGAGGAATTGGTCATAGTTGCTGTCTGCTGAACGAGGAGATAGGATGAAACAGCTCTGCATTTGAATGTTAACACCTGCTCTTAAGGCACCCAGCACTGGTTTTAGTTCTCACAAATGCATTAGAAGGAGAAGCTATAGCGCAAGTAAATGGGATAGCTGTTATTGGGCAAGGAAGAAAGGACAGCATGGGCCACTGAGGAGGAAAAGGCAATGGAACAAGGAACTAGCAAAGCTTGGTCCCAAAAAGTTAAGAACTAGATACTTAAAAGCTAGCTTTTATCCAAGGAACAGCCATCGGTAATTAGAAACTGAGAAGCTCTGGAACAGCCTCAAGATTCCTCATACTGAAGCTATTCAAGATGCACTTCCTGAGACTTCAAAGGCCTTAACAACAAGGGCATGTTTAGCTCCATCCTTCGCATGCACAGTGCAGCAAAGTCACAAACATCACATCCTAGAAATCCATCTCATCCACTTGTACAACGAATAATCACACAAAGCTAACCTCAGCCACCATCAGAAACACAACCTCAGCCCACACTCCGACATTGTCACTAGGAAAATAGTATTTTTAATGAAAGACTCAATTATGCTCTCCCATTAACTTTTCCCAATTTGCTTTCATGGAAGAGAGGACATTAATAATCAGAGCTGCATAGTTCCACCTCACTCTTGCTATTCGCTTCGCAATAGCCCACAGCAGCCAGCCTGGGAAACACAGAAGGAGCACCAGTAAAAACAAAGATTTAAAAAAGAATAAAGACTGAACAATTCCTGTTGATACAAAGTTCCAGGCAATGCTGCTTTGAAGCTTCAGAGACTTTCAGCCTCTGAGACACACAACTTTGGAACCCATACATTTGCAAGTACTAACCTAGCAAAACTGCATGTTACCTTTCCTGAAAAGCTACAATAGACCTAACTGACCAACTTCCACCTGCTAGAGATACAAATGTCTGAAGGTTAATGAGCTGACAGGGTTCTCGTATGGATGATGTCAACAGGAAAACCTTCAGTGATCTGTCTCTGAACTGCAAGAGAAGGAAACCGTGCCCATCCATCTGGTGCAGTACTGCGGAGCGAAAGAACAGAGAGCTCCTGTGAAGCTACGCCAAATGCAAGCCCTGAGGTTTGTCTCAAAACATTAGTGCCATCTGACAAACCTGCCAGCCTTCCTCCTCAGTCACAGGAACACACATCAAGCACAATTCGGAGATGTTCCAACATCTGCCAGCTCCTGGCACTGAAGAAACTACTAGTGTATGTTAAAACAAGGTATTCTAACATTTTAAGAGTATATTTAAACATGGCAAATACAGTATCTTGTATCAAATCTTGTTTCAAATCTCAGATTATTTTATTTATGTTCCTTAAACAGAAGCTTTGGAGAGCCTACTCAACAGCTGCCATCCTCACTTCAGGAACAATGCAGAATGCAGGAGAAATTACAGAGTATTTTGTGTCAAAACTGCTGCGTTTCCACCCTTTGACAAGCTAGATATTCCAGAGCTCATCTCATTATCTTTATGGCAATGCAGTCCTCTCCCCCCAGGTTCCTCAGAAGTTCACGAAAAATAGGTCAAACAGCAGTATCTCTGCTTCCAAAGTTTTTAGCGAACATTCAGAACTGGAACCACACCTCAGCTGCCCGATCCACCCGGAAATCAAGATTTTGCTCATACCATAAACCACCAGCAAAAAGCACAACAGCACAACAACAGATCACATTAACCTTGGGAATCCCCAACAAGCTACAAAAAACACAGAGCACAGACAGGGAAAGAATATAAATAGACTGTGAGATTCACCAGCTTGTTTGCCCAAAAAAAAACCCCCAAAAAAAAAAACCACAACCAAGCTTAAGCCTAGTGCAAAGACAGAAATAGCACCAGAGATCAAAACTGAAGTAAAAAGCAGAGACAGTTACCTGCCCCCAAGGCCTTCAATTCTCTCCCTTTCTTTGGGAAGTTCTGGCTTGTGGTCCTGCGTCACCTCTACAGCTCTCACGAAGTCATCTTTGGGGTCATCCTGGACCCCCAGCACCACACCTGAGTCACCAACATGAGCAACATACATCTTCGACCCGCGGATAATTACCACGCTGGCAGTAGTTCCAGACGTGCTTGGGAGCCCTGTCATGGTCTTCGGCCACTCTGCTGCAATGAAAGAAAAAAAGCAAATAAAAATACCTTTGGTTTCAATTCTGTGGAACTGGCAATGTTTTGAGGCTCAAGAGGAAGGGCGTGCCACAGAGCCTTGTGTAACATTACAACACAGTGGGTGTTTAACTGTAGTACAGCCAGGCAAACCAGTGCCCTCAGATCCCCCCCCCCTTTCATAACATCACTCCCCTACTGAGAGCTTCAATTAACACAGATAAAACCACTGTCAAAGCACCAAGAGAGGATTCAAAAAGCTGCCTCCTCTGGTTTAATGTTCACTACTAGAAGAATATGGAGGGAGATGTGTTCCTGGAGTGCTGGACCGGATCGATCAAGTGTTAAGTTCTACTGTTCACTTCCCTGTCTGAAGGGGTAGACACGTTACAAATTAGGTCATTTTTCTGGACATTTGACTGGCAGGCAGGTTTTCTTGACATTCCTGAACCCCTTGGAAGGAAAGAAAATGCTATTTTACTTTGATATGCTGAACGACATTTTAAGTAGAGTAACATCTCAACAGCCTTATTTACATTTCCCTCTGGAGGACTGAATGAAGCATACTATTTAAGTATACTACTCAAAACCCAACTTCAAATCTTCTGCAGAAGTTATCCCTTAAATTCAGAACAGCAAAATAGCTATACTAGTGTAAACTACACATGGTTAGGGAAATCTCCTTTCTCAACTATTTTGCCCTCCAAACACATTACACTCTCCCCCCATTTAAGTCCAATCCATATTTCTCTTTCACGCCTTTTCTTTTCTTGTCTATCTTGGTGTCTACACACCCAAGTTCATCTTCTTCCAAAACTCCACCATATGATTGAGACGACATCCCAATTAAGACAGATTAGCCATACCAATCCTCCTCCCTACTTCAGCACCCTCAGAATACAGAACTGAAGTTCCCAGTTATCAGCTGATTTCAACTGTCAACAGCAACCTCATGTTTCTTCTTCACTGCACCCACTCCTGTCTTCAGACAAACTCCGAAGGGAGACTCATCTCCTTGTCACATTCTATCTTCTGCACTTCACAAGTTGCACTCACACAGCACAACATAAAAACTCCACTATGATACACATTCTGTTTGCAGGAAATACCCAAGCCAGACTGCCAAAGCACTGTATTATTTATTTTCCTACAGCACAACAAACACGGGGTGGGGGGAAGGAAGGAAACAATAGGAGGCCTTCTCCTCTGTGAAAACAGGTATTTTAAACTTCTAAAGTTTTAAACAGAAGCAAAAGATTAGGAACTTAAGTTCTAGGGTCACTGAATGATGCGCAGAAGCCCAAGACAAGAAAGACATAATGAAGGAGAAGCAGAATTGTGCAGTCTGATAATAAAAGCTCATTTTCCTCAGTGTTAGCTACCAAGATACCCAATATAATTTAAACGTTTAAGTTCTAAAAGAGTTCTAGCTTTGTGTTCTGAATACTACACTACACTTTCTCCCTAGGAGAAGCTTTATTTCAAGAACACAAACATTCAATCAGCTTATTGGAAGTACTTTGTCTGGCAATTTTAGCTGTGGATATTAAATCTAACACATTCCAAATGGAAAGCAAATGAGGGAGGAAGCCAAGTGGTAATGAGGACTTCAACCATGCACTTAACAGAAAACAAGCTGCAACTAATGAGTTTCTGTCAGTGCAAAAACCCCTCAATAGCAATAAAATATATTAGAGTCAAACCAGTCTTTATGGGAGTGAAGAACAGAGTGAAATCACCCACTTATGAGAAAAAGAATGATACAGCAGCCTCAGGTTTTAGGCTCCAACATAACAGAAATTAGATCTGCCTATCATCAAGGGATTTTAGTTTATGCCTTGCTCCTGTTTAGAGACAAGTATTATATATAGCATAGCAGATTCCTTTCTTTAGAGATTGTGTCTCATCAGAAATTAACAAAAGTGTCAAAACTGTTGAGCTTTCTTCTGAGCTCAAGCAGTAACATTGAAGTCTCCTACCAGACTCCTCCACACAGCAGGAACATGTTTTTATCAGTCACGTAACTTCAGCAATAGGGCATCTTCAGAAAGAATTTTTCCCCTCCACTTGTGAAATACTGCCCTTCACTCAGCTTTGTAACTTGGAGCTGGTAAACTCAGCTGCCTTTGTAGCTGACAAAATGAAACTGTCACCTGCTGCCGAAGACAGAAGCATAAAGGGATTTGCTTCATAAAATTTGACTTGGTTTCATTTAGAAACATTTTAGTGCAAATTAAATGGAACCCCTAAGAACAAACATACACAGGACACTACCGCCAAGGCCCCATATTTCTTTTACAAGATCTTTTGTAAGACAAGCAGGCACGACTCCACTGCAGCTGGGAGGCTTTCCATCCAAAAATCCCATCGTTATAAAAGAGCACAGCACACGCTGACCCAGCCGATGCGAACGGAGAGCGGGAGGTAAATCCCATCTGTGTCTAGCAGGGTACCGACAGCACTGCCTGTTGCAGATTGTCACAATACCTGCCCACAAAATACCACACCTTCCAGTTCAGCAGATGTACTCCCCGCTCTCCCAAGGAAAGAAGATTAAATGAAAAAGAGAAAAGGCACATTAAGCGTTCACAATATCTAAAGTTATCAGATTTATAATCCAGTTTGTCCCTCACAACAGTAGACAGTTTCAAGAGGCAAATCCATGCAGCTTCCAGGACTCTTAAGTTGTTTATACACAACCTGCGATTTCTTCTTACTTTATTCACCCTTCTCCTGGTGGAAGGGCTGGAGAGAGGGGTAGCAATTGGTTTAGAACAACCCATCCCAAACAGTATGTTACACCAGAATATAGATCCTACACCTGGATACCACATCTGTAACAGAAATACTCTGGCACAGCCTAAAAAGCAAATTCCCTCATGATGGTTGTGATCTGAAACACACAGACTGCTCCAAAACATGCATGTGAAAAGTTCTGCTCCTGTTCATTTTTGAGAATTATTCAGAATTATTTGGGGAATCAAAAACTGCTAAAGAATACATTTCATTCTGATCTCCTGGTTTTATACAAGTTAACTACAATACCTTATTTCAAGTTACTGTGGTTCTAAAATTCTTGTTAAACTTTCAAAAAAATAAATGCTATATGAACTTTTAATACAGCAATAGACCCTAAAAACTACATTATCCTGGAAGTCTGCATTGCCTCAAGTGGTCCAGGTTGTTTTCAGATTAGAATACATTACAGAAACTCCTCAATACTTCTAAGAATAATCCTGACATTATTTTGCAGTGAAAATTTAAAACCCACCCTTTCTATTTGATGAGAAATAAAAATGCTATTAAACTTCTATTGCTTTGATTGTATTTAATGGGACGAGTTATAACCAAAATGGAATCACACAGCTCTTTCTAAACTATAACCTGTAATGCTGAAGAAAATGTTTTTAATAGTATCAAGCTATACAAATAATTCATTACCAAAGAAATATAAACCTACACAATCCTCAGGAGAGTCACTTCAAAATCTGGGCCCTCCTGAGAACACTTCTTGTAAACACCTTTCCTACCACTGCCAATTGGAGGAATAGGCTTCAAACATGAACTTTTACTCTAGAAGCCCTTTCACAGAGGAATTTATTTATATCTATCTCCCTCTCTCTCTCCCTCTATATATATATATGTATATATACACACACACCATAATTCAGGCAAAAAATTATCAGCAATGACAAACAGGTATTTTTCTGGTTTAATTTTTCTGGTTCTCTCCTGATGAGTGTTTCTTTTCTACACAAGAATGTTTATTTTCACAAGAGATGGCCACTGGGTTGACCCACAGCTTCCAAGAACTAACAGAGCAGCAGAGTATGAGCTTTTCCAACAGCCATCAACTGGAAGCAATAAAAACTCCATCCTTCACAGCAAAAATCCAGACCATTCTCCCACCCCTGTTTCAAGACATCAAAATCCCCAGTCTCTCTTTCAAGTCCATAGTGTTGCCAAATCACGGTGAGAGATGTGCCCTACAGATGATGATATGGAGGATTATTTACCTTAAGTAACACTTGCATGAGAAGTTATAAACTAGATATAGTGATGTTTTTGTCCAGTAAAACTCTAGCTGTCAGGCACATGCAGCAGAAACCAGTAAGCCCAAGCATGCTATGTAGAAGTTTACCATACAGCCTGCCTAAAGCTGTCATCAAGTGCTCATAGCCAGAGCTATGTTGTTTCTCACAACAATTTAAATTGGTTCCACAACCCAAGTGCTGTTTGCTAAACACTCATTACTAAAATAGTACTTCCTGCGTTCTGTCACTTCACTCCACCTCACTGCATCTTGTATTCACACATAGTTACCGTGACAAATAACAGATCAAGGAACTGCACCTAGAAAATTAAACCCCTCCCTTTCTCCCCCATACTATCTTCCCCTATTCACACATCTTTCTCCTCATCATGCAATCCTGCAGCCCTGGGGAAATCACACACCACTCACCAATGTTCCCCAGCATTAAGGCTATGGTCAAGTTCCGGCGCTTCTAAAAGTTACACCCTTTCCTTTCTGCCCAGTATCAATGCGCCCTCAACCTTCCCCCGAATCTTTTCAAGAACCAGACAGTCACACAACTTCTCTCTTTTGCTATTCAAGAAAAAGGAAGAAGAAAATGAAACTGGTTTGACACTGTAATGCGTGTCCCCACCCCCATCACTTCGCTGAAACCCCACCATGCTCTAAGTACAATTCTTGGTTCTTATGTCCACCTTCCAAGCCCACTGTCAGCATCACTGTCTATGTTTCTGACCCAACAGTACTGTGTCCCACTCCTGCCTGCCTTTCTTCAAATGCTGTTTGTTCACTGTTCTTATATTTTCTCTTTCTGGGGCCCCTGAAGACATAAATGCATATACAGCACATACTTTACACAGTATGTATGAACAACAACCATACTCTATAAACCATAATATTCTCCTCACCAAGGAAAGAAAAAGTAATTCCTTTCAGAAACTCAATTCTGCAGTCTCACTCT